TTTCTTCTCTCTTGAATTTTTCCATTTGCACGATGGAGTAATCAAACTTTCCTTAAGGGGCTGAAGGTTTAATGGAGGTTTAATTGAGCTAACATTTAAACAGCTTGGAAAACTGCCTGACCTACATTAGCCACCAATAAATGCTATTTATTTTGGCTCACTCTTTGCCACAGCTACTGACTGATGTGGGCCTGTAGGCCCAGAGCCACAGATTCATTGCATTGCATGAATATTCAAAGAAAATAATCATCGTGAAATTACCTCTCACCTGAGAATAAATAATTTACACTTTTCAACTATGCTTTGTCACAGATTTTGTTATTAGCAGAGCATCACTGGTTAAGTGAGTTCCCATAGACCTTCCAATCTCTGGGATTCTGAGTTGTCAGGAGCTGGGGCACTGGAAATACAGTAGTGAAAAAGACTGGCATCTTCCTTACCTTATGAAGCTTGTACCACATCAGGGGAAAATCATTAAACAAATAATTACTCATGGAAGGCAGACTTGAGGAAATAATTTCCAATATTTGAGTTTTCTGAATCCTGTGACATTCAGGTATGAATCCCTGTGTTTCTCATCCATATTAGCGTTGAGAAATCAAACAACAAATTCCACAAATCCAGTATACTGACTAGGTAAAAGTGAAGCAAAATATCCTAAGATAAAAGGAATTGCATATTAATCACCATGTGGCTCTATTTAATAGATACAAAAATAAGATAACAGAGAGTGGTCTATAAACATTATTTAATTCTAAAGCACACAGAGGAAAAAATAAAACATCACAGGAAAGAAATAATGCTAAAATATCTTTAGCTTTTCCAAACTCCCCCAAATTCCAGTTGAGCTAATACTGGGAGCAGAGAATAAGTGAGACTAAGGAATCACATGTCCCTCAGAGAATCCTTAGCTGTGACTTCCTCTTCATCTGTCACACCCATGGCTTACTTCCAAAAGCTACGACTTGGGGCTGTGTTCCTGGATATCAGGCTCCATTTCCTAGTTACGAAATAATTCGATTTGTGTGTTCCAATGTCACCTGAAACCAACAATTTCACAAACAAACTCCTCACTATCTAGTCCAAAGCAGATTCTTATCAGCTTTCAGGGATGCCTTCACAGGATTTAATTTACAGCTCCATTGTTCTCCTGCAGAAAGGAAAGTCTCAACTCCACTGCCCAAACTATAGAACTTCCATAATCTGGCCCATTCCGGTAACCAATTATATTTCCACCACAGTACTGAGCTGCCTTCCCTGAGGTCCCTCACAGAACAGCCCTCACACAGATTATTATCCTCCCCCCAGGCTATAGGACAGAGTGTTTCCCTTCTCAGGGATTCTGTGGCAGCCACAGGACAGCATTAGCCACACTTGCATATTCTCCTGCTCTGGTCTTGAGCATTGATTTGGGTAACAGAATTCCTGACCTGTTCTTTGGACTGACAAAGATGGCCCTAACTTTCCCCTCAGCTTGATTCAATTTTAGACAGGCTTCTACCTGACTGTAGGCCTCCGATCTCTCTTATCCTACAGCATTTACTTTAGAAAACTTGTAATTGTAAATTCTTTCTCGGTTCCTTTGAGATGTAAATATTTTAGAAGCCTCTTGCCAGTTTTATCATCCAGATACATCTTTCTCAAGGATTTGGGAGCCATCTCTTTTAAAAGTTACCATCAAAGAAGACAATACAGGCTATCTCCTAGTCTCTGTGGAAGGACAGATGCCTGACTTCAAGTTGCAAGACTACCTCTTGCCATAAAGACATGAGAAATTTATGTTTCCTTTAGTTAAAGCCAGCTAGCAAACACAGATGGCCTATGACTTCCCCCAACTTCCTCCGGCACTTTTTCCACCAACTCACTCCAGAGCTTAGAAACGCTCCTCTTCCTTTTTTTCAGCAGAGTTGATCTCAGATTGAGTTTGGGCGCCTCACCTGTTGCAACAGCCTTGAGTAAAGTCTTCCTTGACTATTTAACTTTGTCCAGTGTAATTTTTGTTTTGATAGGACCATCTCGTATGCCAGATAAGACAAGATTTCTTGTTTCTTCTCTTTGGACAGAATCACTGTTTGGTTGTTTTACCTATACTCCTTCTTTCTAAGACCCATGTTCAACCTTGTACAATTCTACTGTCAGCCTTCCTATCTTTCAGAGGTGCAATTCCTCTAGCATAAAGTAGAAACACTATTTTTTAACCTTAGATTTTTCCAAAGTTGTCCATTTTTTTACCTTGTCTGTGTTTCTGAGCTCCTCCCTGAACTACCCACTCCCTGGCTTGCTGGTCCCTATTGGGTAACTCCCATCTGCTGTTCCCTGTCACCAAGGATTAACCAAAAGGTAGAACTGGGACAGGCCACTCTTCTCTTTTATTGCCCTGATCCTTCATTCTCCCTGAAACCCACACCCCTGGCTGTACAGAGGTACATGAAGGTACATGAATTTCTTTTGTTTTTTTTTCGCCAAGGAAGATTCACCCTGAGCTAACATCTGTTGCCAATCCTCCTCTTTTTGTTTTTTTTTTTTTTTGGCTTGAGGAAGATTAACCCTGAGCTAACATCTGTGCCAATCTTCCTCTATTTTGTATGTGGGTCGCTGCCACAACATGGCTGACTAGTGATGTACGTCTGCCCCTGGGATCCAAACCCACGGACCTAGGCCGCCAAAGTGGTGTGCCAAACTCAACCACCAGGCCACGGGGCCAGCCCCAAGTACATGAATTTCTTTACTAAAAGTGTGGAGAAAGGAAATCTTTAAAGGAAATTACTGAGAAGGGAAAAATGTAAAAAGCTGTCACATAGAGATGGAATTCTCAGAGATGAAAAGGAAAATAACTAAGAAGTCCATAAGGGGAGGCCTTGATGTGAGCTCACACAGTGTCTAATCTGACTCCTCTTCCCTCAGGTTTATGTCCCTTTCAAAAGATTGATTTGCTTCTCTCCATTTCACTTTGGGACAACAAGTCCTGCCCATAGTATCTTATAGGGTATCTGGGAGGAGAGGTGATGGCAATCTAAATCTTGATAAGAGCCCAGGTTAGTTGTGGGCCCTCTGGATCAACTCTCCTTTGCCGTGTTTTGATCAGTGTGAGTTGAAGATGTCCCTCTTGCTTTTCACAGTTGTACCTGTCACCCAAGTATGAGCACACACACACACTTGGCAAAATTAAGCATTATTTCTCAGGACAGGACAGCACAAGTTTTTCAAATTGCATATTGTGACCCTTTAATGGGTTGTGAAGTTTATGTTGTTACAACCACTATTTTTTAAAAAAATACAATAAAAGAATAAAGTAAAATAGAGTAGAATAAAATAAAAATTAAAAAGCAACTTGAATCATGTGTGTGTGTGTTTCTAGGTGATGAGGTAAAATACATTTTTTTTACTGTGAGTCACAGTCAAGAAAGTTGCAAAGCCCCTAGAATAAATCTATAAGTAAGGAAACAAAATTTTGCTATCTGCAAGCTGGGTATGTCTTACAAGGAGAAAATAAGTTATTTTCTTTCAAGGTTTCAGAAGGAGCTCTTTCAGGTCTGCCAGAATAACAAAGGAACCAAATATCCTTTGTCCAATAGCATGGACTATTGTATCAGTTTTATATTGAATATATTTGAAAAGACCATTTTAGTGAGGACTTAAATTCTCAGATAAGAATCCTTGATGTCCCAAGGCTCCATACTGAAGAATGAAAAGAGAGGTTCTATTCTTCTCTTACTTTCGTTCTATTTCCTTTTCCTGCTATTGACAATAATACTGCCATAAATTTAGTTCTGCATTTCCTCATCTAGCATTCTCCCTGTCTATTTGCTTGGATTTCTCTATGTGGCCCACCTCTAAGAAGACTAATAATATCCATGAAGGCAGAGATTGTCTTGGGCATCACTGAATCCCTAGAACCTGGCACAACGTCTGGCGATAGTGGGTGGTAAATTACAATCACTGAAACAGTTTCATCCTTTCTTTTCATTACTTTCTGGGGCATCAACATCTTACTGTATCTCACTAAGGCCAACTACCAGCCTAGACTCCCAACCCTTGTAAAATAGCAGCTGATGCATATATATCCACAAGAGGTACATAGATCAGTGAGGGGTATCGAAGATTGCAGCACCCTGAGAGAGTGCCCTTGACTATGGCCAGTGCTTGAATGAAGACGACGGCACTGCCTCTCCTATCCTTGGTTTTTCTGTTTCCACTTGGCCAACACGATCTTTCTTGACATATATTAAATTCTTCTGTCATATCTGATCTGATCTTGGAGCTATTCCTTTTGGTAAGAAAACCTCTCTATATTTTAATAAGCTACCATCACTGCCTGATTTTCCCTAAATGATAAAGAGATTTATTTTCGGGTGATAATAATATTTCATCAACTTCTAAGATCTTGGACCATGAGTTCTTAATTGTGAGGGTTGGATGATAAGCAGGTGAATGTTTATGATTCTTTTCTCTCTACTTTTGCATGTGTTTGAAATTTTTTATAGTACAACTGTTTGTAACGTACATAAGTGACACTATGAAGAACTAAGTAAACAAAGATATGAATCTCATTTATGAAAACAGCATTTCTCACCTATAAAAAATGAAAGCCTCTGAAACATATTGAGTCGTCATTAATCTTGGAAGCCATGCTGCTGTATTTCTGTATTCTGTGATCCCCATGTCCATGAAATCTTGACTCTCCCATGCAAAATCCATCCCACCTCATTTTACTAAACAGGTCTGAAGCTTAACCCAATAAAGCTATTGCATGTGATACTTACTATAAACAAGATAATTGAGTGTGGTAAAGCCTGGTGTACTGTTCCCCTTAAGTAACAAGTGCTCCACATTTGAGCCATCTTTGCTTCCTGAGGGCAGAGCAGCAGAGACAGCAGAGGAACCTAAAGGGAAGCAAGATGAGGGGCAAAGAGATGCCCAGGCAAGTAAAGGAGTCTTCTAAAACCCCAATTCTGCAGGCTAGGCAGCCTTCAACGTGAGGATGGAATTGGCTGACAAACTCGGGGACGGTGGATAGTCACTCCAGTGACAAGGATGGGGTACGGCGAGGCGGGGTGACCATAGCCCTGCGGACGGCACTGTAGTCCCCCGGCAGCTTCCAGGTTGTAACAGGAGGCAATCCCACAGTTCGTGGCGGGGAGGACCCCAACTCGCTCCAGAGGCAGAGATTCTGACTGTTTATTTACATAGAATATATATTGGAGATGTACACTCACAATCAATTTGGTAATAAAAGTGCACGATCAAAAATTTTAGTCCCTTGCCCCTTTGCACAGAGTAGACTACTAGTGGTCATAAAGCTGTGTTGAAGATTAAACCAATACGAATTGACAAGTCAGAAGTGTTTAGCAAGTATGTTTCAACAACTTAGAGTATGTTTATCTAAGATATCTTAAAAGAAGAAGATATTTGGGAGGGGATATTTGGATACATTTTAGAAAAAATGTATTTTCAATACACGAGAGACATGTTTTCTTAAAAAAGACTAAAACCAGGCCGGCCCGGTGGCGTAGCGGTTGGGTTCACGGGCTTGGCTGTGGTGGTCCGGGGTTCGCAGCTTTGGATCCCGGGTGCAGACATACACGCCGCTTGGCAAGCCATGCTCTGGCAGTGCCCCATATAAAGTAGAGGAAGATGGGCACAGATGTGAGCCCAGGGCAATCTTCCTCAGCAAACAGAGGAGGATTGGCATTGGATGTTAGCTCAGGACCAATCTTCCCCATACACACAAAAGAAGACTGAAAACCCCAAGTGTAGGCTCAAAAGTTTAGAGAAATATTGACTATCTTAATTTTTTTAAGTTTTGGTTTATGCTTTTATTAATAATAAATGGTGTTTGGTTTCAGATTTTAATAATATGGTCTAAAATTTATCTTTTCTTTCTCTTGAGTTTGGCATCTCAGCTGATGAATGTTTATAATTGTTCCAAGAAAACTTTAAAGGATGTGTTTTTGCAAAAGAATAAGCTCTGTGACGTATGATTAAAATGTTATAATTTATTTATATCTATATATTGTAGAGTAGATTTACTTATATAGCTTACTTTTTAAAATATATATAATTATGGAATTATTACATAACTGTGTTTTTTAACCTGTCAATTGAAAAAGTGAGTTTACTTACATGAATTCTGTTTTTGTCTGAACAAATTTGTTTCTGTATTTAAAAATTTTTTTTCCTAAAATTGTAGTAGCCATTCTATTCGTTTAATGACACCACATCTTTACTTTTGATTATTTTATGAACATATAATTACTGTCTTTATTTTGCTTACTATGTTTTACTTAGAAAGTATTTATTTGATATTAACCTTAAATCTTTACTTTCTTAAAGCCTATGAGGAGTATTATATGATTATGAATTATTTCATTTATACCATATGCATGTTATGAAATCAAACAACACGAATATCAAGACTCTTGATTAAGTGGAAAAAATATAATTATAAGTTATGTTTTATATTTTAGTCTAATATCAGCTTCAGGTTTCACTTTTCTTGTCAGTTTTGTTTTTGTTGCTGTTGTGGACTGAATTGTGTCCCCGCTCAAAATTCATATGTTGAGAATCCAACCCTCAGTGCCTCATACAGTGACTGTTTTTGGAGACAGAGTCTTTAAAGAGGTGATTAAGGTTAAATGTGGTCATTGGTTGGGCGCTAATCCTATATGACTGGTGTCCTATAAGAAGAGGAGATTAGGAAATAGACAAGCACAGAGGAAAAACCATGTGAAGGCGCAGGGAGATGGCCATCCAGAAGCCAACGAGAGAGGCCTCAGAAGAAATCAACCTTGCTGACACCTTCATCTTAGATTTCTAGCTTCCAGAACTGTGAGAAAATAAATTTCTGTTGTTTAAGCCACCCAATCTGTGGTGCTTTGTTGTGACAGACTCGCACCCTAATACCGTTACATATTTAGAATACTTAGGTTCACCCAGATGAATAGTTGAAGATGTTTTCAAACAGCTCTCTTTATTTTCCTGAAATACCTGTTAATTACACCAAACCATAAGCTTGATAGAGGGATAGAAGACTTGTTTTTAAATCTCAAAATTGAATCACTTATGTAATAAAGTGGGTAGAATAAAATATTAATGACAGGATCTTAGAGGTGGGTTTACTGGTTTTACTGTAAAATTCTTTCACTTTTTGTATTTGCTGATATTTCATAACAAAGTATTGGAAAAAGTTAAACCACTACAAATATCAAACCCTCACTTTCAATAATAGTTCAGTATAGATTTGGAGAAAGTTAATGGGTGCATACCTGACCAATTCGTGTCTCCATGACTTGGATAAAAATGTAGCACTTTTCAAATACATTTAGTAACTTATGAGAATTTTTAAAAATATTATTAAAAGCAGAAACTTTAGTTATCATTAGGAAATACACATTCAAGGAATTAAAGAAATCACACAGTTTCCCTTGCAGGCAGAATTCAAAATTCAAGCTTCAAGTTCGTTGCTAGCAATTTATTTCAAGTAGGTAACATTGTGACTAGCATCGAACTCATTTAGCTTAAAATTATCGAGACATGCAAGCTGGTAGAACTATCTTATCGTTGAGAATTTTTAACTAACGATACTCGAAGATACTATGTGAATTTCCCTACTTTACACTTTCATGAACATCCAACATTTTCAGCATAAAATAAATTTGTAGTCTTATTGAATGGCTCGTTGCCTTTTTGACCCCTAATATGACCAGTAATGTTGAAAATTTTTCTGTTCAAAAACTGTGGCTCTTCTGATTTTCCTGGTTTACCTCTCTTTAGCTATTCCCCACTTTTCAGCTATTCTCTATTCACAGAACCTGGGCTCCTCCTCACATTTTTTTTCACCTGCTCTTCAGTCCTCAGTTGCTCACATTTCACCAGCTTTTCCTAGATTTGTACATGCTCCTAATTCCCGAATTTCTCAGAGCTCATTGGCTATTCTAGTCTCCCGTATTCCTCCCACCATTCAAACCTCTCTCATTACTTCAGCTTCTCTTGTCCTTATATCATTGTTTGAAATGGTCCCTGCAATAAAAATTTTTAATCCTATTTTTTAACATTTGAGATTTTTTTTTGTCGCTCCACAGAAATTTTAGTGCCTATCTTCAGCTGTTTCTAACTTTTTAGAAATTTGTTTTTTTTTTTTTTTTTTGGTGAGGAAGTTTGGCCATGAGCTAACATCTGTTGCCAATCTTCCCCTGAACTAACATTTGTGCCCATCTTCCTCTATTTCGTACAGGGGATGCCTCCACAGCGTGGAGGCTTGATGAGTGGTGTGTTGGTCCGTGCCCAGGATCCGAACCTGCGAACCCCCGGCCACCAGAGCAGAACACGCGAACTTAAACACTACGCCACACGGCTGGCCCCTTTTTAGAAATTTTGAAGGGAGCAGAGAAGAAACAAGGCAGGCTAGTAGAGCAACTGAAGAAATCAAACTTTTGACTAACTCTACCCTTCAGCCTTTCCCAGACTCTCACAAATTTTCCCACTTTTCCTGTCATCCCATTCAAATTCCTCACACACATTTCCCTACCGTCTGCATTCCTTAAGATTTGTTCTGCTTTTAGCTGATAATGAAATTACTCAACTGCTCAATTTTGCAGTTGCTCGCTTTCCCCATGTTGTACCCATATCTCGCATTCATCCTATATTCTCAAATGCTACCATCTCCTCAGCTGTTTTCTCTTTTTCTTAGAAATTGCTCCAATATCCTCATTTCTTTACAGCTCACCCTGTTTCATCAGTTGCTCCCTCTAGCTTTTGTCTTCTTACACACACAAAAAGAATAATTGGAATTGGATAGTTTCAGAAGCTCCCTTAATGATTAAAACAGCTCTCACTACCACTGCCCATGTGTTTTCCTTCCTCCTGAAGTTTCCTGGAATGCTGCTTCTGCTGAAATCCCTTTCTTCCACTTAGATTATTCTCCAGGGACTACAAATAAATTATTCCATTTTATCTCCCATCTTGGCTTATTTAGTGTTGCTTTAGGATTTCTAGTATACATTCTGAGCTTCTCACAGTGTACCTTTAAGTGGCATTACACTTTACTTAGCATAGAACCCTATGATAGAATACTGTCATTTCTCCCCTCCCAGTCTTTATATTGTCATCCATTTTATTTTAACATACGACAAAATAAAAATAAAGTTCTGGCAACCTGGCTGCAATGGACTGACCTGTATCTCCCTAAAATTCATATGTTAAAACCTGAATCCCTAATGTGACTGTATTTGGAGATAGGGCTTTAGGAGATAATTAAGGTTAAATGAGGTCATAAAGGTGAAACCCTAATCCAATAGGATTGGCCTTATAAGAAGAGGCCCATCTCTCTCTCTCTCTCTGCCATGTGAGGACACAGTGAGGAGGTGGCCGTCTGCAAGCCAGGAAGAGAGCTCTCACTAGGAGTGAAATTTGCTGGCTCCTTGATCTTGGACTTCCCAGCCTCCAGAACTGTGAGAAATAAATTTTTATTGTCTAAGCCACCCAATCTGTGGTATTTTGTTATGGAAGCCTGAGCAGACTAATACACTAGCTCATTATACGACTAACACCTCAAGTCTTCCTTTCAGTTCTTCTTGAAATGTTAATAATTCTGGATTATAGTCTTTTTACAATGTATAGTAATCAACTCTTTAAAAGTCTGTCTTTCTGACTAGTCGACAAATTCCTTAATGACACAGACTCTTCTTTTTGCCCATTTGTATTGCCTCTCCCCACACAACACATTGCTTGACCGCTAGTGACCTTTCTATCTGTGTTGTTAGAAAAAACACACAAATCTCTACAGCATAGCTGGCAAGCATTTAACCACCCTATGCTAAAATACCATCGTGCTTTCGACACATGAGCTTTTAGGGCATAACTTTATTACTATTTGCATCTATCTCCTCATATTACATTCATGATCTGAGTCCTCTCTCTGGAGCCTCAGACCTGAGAAAGTTCTGATCCCTCTATCTCATGACACTCCTGCATATACCCTCATCTTTCCCATACCTTGAATTTTCCTCTGGCCTTTTTAGTGACTTCAACATTTGATCAGATGATATTGTCTTTAATCTCTTCCCCAACATAATTAGCAAGATGCCTTCTTTTGCGGATGTCCATATGTAACTGAGTCCTCTTTAAATGGTGACACTTAAAGTATATATGTTATTCCTGGTCTGTTCTGATTAGTTTATAGTATTATGGATTCTCACTCTATCTTTCTCCAAGTCTGAATTTTCTGCTTTTCATTACTGTAGCTAAAGGTAATGTAAGACTAATGGTCAGATCCACCCTTTGACCCATGTTTACTTAAAAAATTTGAGTCTTTTTTAAATGGGATGCTATGAGCAGATTCTCCTCTTACCAGGGTGTGTATGATCTCTCTAGCTTCCCAACTTGAGGAGAAACAGAGGAAATCTTTCCATGTGACTTAGAGTTTAGGAAAACGACCATAGATATTCTCCTTAGGAGAAGAATCACATCCATAGAGACAAGGAATTGCTGCTGAGAATCTTTTATTGAAGAATCAAACCCATATTTTTGCCCCCACAGCCATCCTAGACAATCTGCTTCTCTATGAGGAATCCACCGAAGGGATTCTGGTACTCTTGAGCATCAGTGCATGATCCATAATTTGCCAAAAAAAGGGCACCACGGCTCATCCTACGAGAGAAATCATTTTTTTAAAAGGAAGGTCTTGAAGACTTCAAATTAAGTTTTGTATTCTTAGCTCAAGCCAGCCAAATGAGTACACAGCTCAATTACTGATCAATTACTGAGATCAGTTACTGAGCTTCAGCATGGTAGAAAAAGAAATTCAATGCGCTAGTAAAAGCCAGTGTTAGGAGCCAAAGAATCTGTAAATTTCTCTTGTATCTGCCCTTTAATAATATTATGAGGTTGATCAAGTCTCTTGTTTTCCTAGCTTCAGTTTCTTCCTACTATCCACTTATTTCTTTCTCTCTCCCTCTTTTTGCTTCTTTTTGTAAAATATTATGATTATCAGTAAACCATCTCTTATGCTTCATAGCAGCATCCAGCTTATTAGGTAGCTAAAATGGTTTCTGGCTCTGTGGGAGAGGCTATTCCTCCAACTAACGTATCGAATTCAGCACTTACACAACAGCATTGCAAAACAAACATTTGTTGAGATATTTTCTCCCATCAGATCCACAGAGAGGCAGGTAATCCTTGGTGCATGCATCAGAATATTCAATACACGCAATCTGCCACATCCAAAAAAAAAGAAAAACAATTTCAAATCATTAAATTACAGAAAACGAACTTTTTAAAGACCTGAGGGATCATTTAGTCCAAAATCCCACATGCAAAAAGACATATCCTCTGCAGTTTACATAATCTGACCCAACAATGATGGGAATCTCATCACAGCAAAGAATAGCTCAGCCCAAGTCGAAGGCTTCCCTCTCACTCATTCTCTACATTGAAGTGACAAGTAGAATACATCCTGTGGGTTCTATCTTGTACCTAATTTCTGAATTTGTCCTCTCCTCGCCATACTGTTATCCACTTTATTCAGGCCCTCAATATGTCTTGTGTGCGCAGTTGCAATTGCCTGCCAATTTATTGCCCCTCCTCCCTGCTTATCTGAGATTTCAATCACCCTCCACACTGATGCCAGGGTGATCTTTTAAATCAAATCAGATCTTGTTCTTCAAATACTTAACTGATTCCCTATCAACAGAACATCTCCTCATGACTGGGTCTTGTCTCTCCAGTCTCATCTGCCCTGCCTCTTACTCTAGCTAAACTTAAGGACTGAATTCCCAGAGTGTTTCCTGCTCCTGTATATCCCTGTGTCTTTGCTTAGGGTGTTTTTCCTGCCTTGCATGACCTTACCTACTTTATCCATCAGACTGACTCTATTCCTCCTTAAAAGTTGGTTTAACAAATTTTATAGCAGTTTCATGGTGACATTTTTCTCCCTCACCCATTAAATTGGGTTAGATGTCCCTCCTTAAAATGAACTGTCTTTACTACCACAACCTCATTTTATAATTCTCTTATATCACGTTTCAAACTCCATTAGAATTATTGACATTCCACTCACATAGCTCTTTACCTCTGAATTGTCTCTACATTTGTTCTTGAATTTTTTGTACTTTTTAAATAACTTCCTTTACTGTTATAAGAGCGTCCTTGAGTCCCTAATGTCCTCTTCCTAACCTGCTAATTAGTTGCAGTGTTAGAAAATAACCACATGAATACCAATGTGCCCCAATTAAAGGCTATGAGTAAAGTTTGTGTGTGGAGTTTTCCTCTGGGTAAATAAATTAGCTAT